TCCAAAACGACATAACTCCGCGCGGTATGATGGATAATAGCTCCGCGGGGAGATATGACGTTCCAAACCGACATAACTCCGCGCGGTATGATGGGTAATAGCTCCGCGGGGAGATATGACGTTCCAAAACGACATAACTCCCTCTGCTCGGATGGAAATAGCTCTGCGGGGAGATATGACGTTCCAAAACGACATAACTCCAGGCGGTATTATGGGTAATAGCTCCGCGGGGAGATATGACGTTCCAAAACGACATAACTTCCTCCGCTCGGATGGAAATAGCTCCGCGGGGAGATATGACGTTCCAAAACGACATAACTTCCTCCGCTCGGATGGAAATAGCTCCGTGGGGAGATATGACGTTCCAAAACGACATAACTCCCTCTGCTCGGATGGAAATAGCTCCGCGGGGAGATATGACGTTCCAAAACGACATAACTCCGCGCGGTATGATGGATAATAGCTCCGCGGGGAGATATGACGTTCCAAAACGACATAACTCCGCGCGGTATGATGGGTAATAGCTCCGCGGGGAGATATGACGTTCCAAAACGACATAACTCCCTCTGCTCGGATGGAAATAGCTCTGCGGGGAGATATGACGTTCCAAAACGACATAACTCCAGGCGGTATGATGGGTAATAGCTCCGCGGGGAGATATGACGTTCCAAAACGACATAACTTCCTCCGCTCGGATGGAAATAGCTCCGCGGGGAGATATGACGTTCCAAAACGACATAACTCCCACCGCTCGGATGGAAATAGCTCCGCGGGGAGATTTGACGTTCCAAAACGACATAGCTCCGCGCGGTAAGATGGATAATAGCTCCGCGGGGAGATATGACATTCCAAAACGACATAACTCCCTCTGCTCGGATGGAAATAGCTCCGCGGATAGATATGACGTTCCAAAACGACATAACTCCGCGCGGTATGATGGGTAATAGCTCCGCGGGGAGATATGACGTTCCAAAACGACATAACTCCTTCCGCTCGGATGGAAATAGCTCCGCGGGGAGATATGACGTTCCAAAACGACATAACTCCCTCTGCTCGGATGGAAATAGCTCCCCGGGGAGATATGACGTTCCAAAACGACATAGCTCCGCGCGGTATGATGGAAATAGCTCCGCGGGGAGATATGACGTTCCAAAACGACATAGCTCCGCGCGGTATGATGGATATAAGCTCCGCGGGGAGATATGACATTCCAAAACGACATAACTCCCTCTGCTCGGATGGAAATAGCTCCGCGGGGAGATATGACGTTCCAAAACGACATAGCTCCGCGCGGTATGATGGATAATAGCTCCGCGGGGAGATATGACATTCCAAAACGACATAGCTCCCTCTGCTCGGATGGAAATAGCTCCGCGGGGAGATATGACGTTCCAAAACGACATAACTCCAGGCGGTGTGATGGGTAATAGCTCCGCGGGGAGATATGACGTTCCAAAACGACATAACTCCCTCCGCTCGGATGGAAATAGCTCCGCGGAGATATGACGTTCCAAAACGACATAGCTCCGCGCGGTAAGATGGATAATAGCTCCGCGGGGAGATATGACGTTCCAAAACGACATAACTTCCTCCGCTCGGATGGAAATAGCTCCGCGGGGAGATTTGACGTTCCAAAACGACATAACTCCCTCTGCTCGGATGGAAATAGCTCCGCGGGGAGATATGACGTTCCAAAACGACATAACTCCGCGCGGTATGATGGATAATAGCTCCGCGGGGAGATATGACGTTCCAAAACGACATAGCTCCGCGCGGTATGATGGATAATAGCTCCGCGGGGAGATATGACGCTCCAAATCGATAAACCCACGCGGTATGATGGGTACTAGCTCCGCGGGGAGATATGACGCTCCAAATCGACATAACTCCACGCGGTATGATGGGTACTAGCTCCGCGGGGAGATATGACGTTCCAAAACGACATAACTCCGCGCGGTATGATGGATAATAGCTCCGCGGGGAGATATGACGTTCCAAAACGACATAACTCCGCGCGGTATGATGGATAATAGCTCCGCGGGGAGATATGACGTTCCAAAGCGACATAACTCCCTCCGCTCGGATGGAAATAGCTCCGCGGGGAGATATGACGTTCCAAAACGACATAACTCCGCGCGGTATGATGGATAATAGCTCCGCGGGGAGATATCACGTTCCAAACCGACCCAACTCCGCGCGGTATGATGGATAATATCTCCGCGGGGAGATATGACGTTCCAAAACGACATAACTCCCTCCGCTCGGATGGAAATAGCTCCGCGGGGAGATATGACGTTCCAAAACGACATAACTCCGCGCGGTATGATGGGTAATAGCTCCGCGGGGAGATATGACGTTCCAAAACGACATAACTCCGCGCGGTATGATGGATAATAGCTCCGCGGGGAGATATGACGTTCCAAAACGACATAACTCCGCGCGGTATGATGGGTAATAGCTCCGCGGGGAGATATGACGTTCCAAAACGACATAACTTCCTCCGCTCGGATGGAAATAGCTCCGCGGGGAGATATGACGTTCCAAAACGACATAGCTCCGCGAGGTATGATGGATAATAGCTCCGCGGGGAGATATGACATTCCAAAACGACATAACTCCCTCCGCTCGGATGGAAATAGCTCCGCGGGGAGATATGACGTTCCAAAACGACATAACTTCCTCCGCTCGGATGAAAATAGCTCCGCGGGGAGATATGACGTTCCAAAACGACATAGCTCCCTCTGCTCGGATGGAAATAGCTCCGCGGGGAGATATGACGTTCCAAAACGACATAACTCCCTCTGCTCGGTTGGAAATAGCTCCGCGGGGAGATATGACGTTCCAAAGCGACATAACTCCGCGCGGTATGATGGATAATAACTCCGCGGGGAGATATGACGTTCCAAATCGACATAACTCCGCGCGGTATGATGGGTAATAGCTCCGCGGGGAGATATCACGTTCCAAACCGACACAACTCCGCGCGGTATGATGGATAATAGCTCCGCGGGGAGATATGACGTTCCAAAACGACATAACTCCGCGCGGTATGATGGGTAATAGCTCCGCGGGGAGATATGACGTTCCAAAACGACATAACTTCCTCCGCTCGGATGGAAATAGCTCCGCGGGGAGATATTGTCACAATGAAGTGAACATAATCGTTTGCAATTTCTCTAATAAGTTCAAAATAGCCCACGCAATTTACTGCTCTTTGTAGAATTTATTTAAAATTATATTATTATTAACTACATTCAAACCTGATTAGACTGGCTATGCTCTGCACGTTTATTGACCAGCGAGCTGCAGATCTCTGCAATCTCAGCCAGAGGGTGTATCTACACCCAAATTTACAGCTGCTCACAGGTTCTTATGTTCTATATTCAGAGAGCTCAAAATGTTTGATCTTTCTTTTTCTTGCACAATCTCAGGTTTATTAGTCACTTAAATAAACAACAATTTACGGCTCGCCCAAAACGTCATTGAATTAAGGTACACACTTTAAAAGTCGTTTAATTTATGCAAAGTCAGTGAATTAAATGTGAATTCCAACTTGTTGTCGTGATATGAGGAATTTTTAAAGCTCTACACTTATTTAGCAATTGATTTACAATATGATTTGTTTTGTTTTGATATCGATGCTGTATGCAAATCAATTTCCATATGTCGGATGCTTCAGATTCCCTCGAGTGTGACGATTCTGATTTTAAAGCTTTGTCGAGAAGAGTGACAAAATCGAGCAAATAACACATATTGCATTTGATTAATGTATCTGTTTGTTTGGTTGTTAAATTACAATAATGATAACTGGTTTAATAGAACCTGAACACATAAATGTGTTTGGAAGAGTTCTTGGATACAGAACTTAAGGCAGGTATTTGGCTCGAATGGTAGTAGCCAGCTCTAATTAAGATAAATGATAAATATATGTGTATATATTTATATATGTTAATATATATGATAAATATATATAAAAATAAAAAACTAGACTAATAAATATATAATTCGCTTGAAAGTAGCATAGCAGATAATCTACTTATAAAATTTAATAATTTTGATATTTAATCATATTTATGAATGTTTAACATAACTAACTAATAAAATATATTAATTAGTTTGTGCAATATCACTACTGCATTTATTTATTCACTAGACTGATTAATACATGTTTTAGAATTTGTATACCTTATAGAGGTATGTTCCGTGCTGTTGAATTAAATTTGTGCTTAAGTGTGCTTAAGAATCTGAATTCACCATATAGTTCAAAGTACTAAATAATAAAATTTATTTTTAATTACGCAAAATCTTAGCCTGTGATATCTGCAAAGATTCAAAAATGAGACTCTACCGAACCTCTTTCAAGCACGTTTGTTTAAGTTTGTTTCTGTTGCAATTTGCAAATAAATGCCAATAAATTAGATGCTTATCCTTGACAGATGTTTATAAGCTCTTGGGGGCTGCCCGAAGACGATACGCATACGCATAATTCGATCAATGGCAACACACCCTGTAGGGTGCAGGGTATTGAATGTACATTAATTAAACGATTAATACTAAGCCCAAGATTTTGCACAAGGCTTCGTGTGGTTAGCCAATCAAGCAATTCTTACTAACATCTCAGGTTTCGCACCGAGGCTGACCATATCATTTGCGCGCATTGCATCAGACTTCCTACTAAAGCGAAGATAATAAAATTCAAATTATTTTATATGATGAGACACGTCCTGGCGCCAATGCGTCTGAAAATGACAAACTGTGTGACGTTCCGCTGGACACAAATTGATATACCACCTAGCTGAGAGGTTGTGTGTATGGGCTGTGACGTCAGACACGCGTACTGAGGCGTAACTCTGACATTCTTGGGGGGCGTGTTTTTTTTTCGCGTCCATCTTTGCAGCCAAAAATAGCTTTGCAGTGTGTCAGAAGGGCAAAGTTCTTGCTAAGCTTATTGGCCTATTCGAAGGTTTGTTATTGTTAAGGTTTCCCTAATGAAAACTTACGTTTAATTCTTAGTTAATTAATTTTCGTTGAATGCGCGTTTTTCTTTGTGCCACTTTTACTGTTCAATGTCAAGGTCTCCCCAGCATATTCATAGCAAAAACACTTTCATCTTTCAATTGTGTCGATTATTGAATAAACTATTATTTTAAATTTAATATTTGCACGCTTCTTTAAAAACACTTTACTGCCAGTCGAACGTAGTCAACAAACTTGTTAGTTTTTATGTTTTTTTTTTTTTTTTTTTTTAAATTTTTTCAACAAAAGAGCTTGAAAACGTTTTTCCTTGTCGTCGCCACAGTTCAGAGTGTACTGAAAGCCAGCGCATGGATACAGCATCAGAGAACCGGAACCAGAACGTGAATTTCAGCAACAAGCTCTGATAAGAGGACATAAGAGAAAGAAGCTCGCAGACTCCAAAAAAAAAAAAAAAATAATAAAAAAATTTAAAAAAGGTCGACGTCACGTTGTTGGTTGTTCTCATGTTATTTGGTTGGCTCTGAAAACTTTTTGCGTACTTCAAATTATATGTTCTTGTGCTGACAACCCCTTGCGCTGCTCGTTAGCTACGCGCAGGCATTCATCGAGGGCGTTTAGCATAAATTATGTCCGTCCATTTATGCCATTTCTTCAGTTTTTCGGTTTCATATTTGCTTCTGTCCTCTGTTCAGGTTCGCGCCTTTTGTTTGCGCGTTAAGCATGGCCCAATGTGCTTTGCGTTGCTTTCGTATGTCTTATGCGACTGTTCTTCGCGGTTGTTTGTTGTTGTGCCTAAGGTCAGCTTCGGATGTTCTGCGCATGTCCTGGTTTGAGCTTTTTATGTAGCTTCCAATGGTTTGTTGGAGAAAAGTTATCGACTTATGTAGGATACCTACATGCTTGTTTACTGTGTAGTCGGGTATTGTAATTGCTTGGGCTTGGATTTCGTGCATTTGGTTTTGACTTTTTGCTTAGCTCAAGATTTGTAACTGATTTTATATTTTTATTTTTCAAAAATTGTATTTTATAGCAATCAGCTTGTGTTACATTGCAAAATTTTGAACTGCTTTCTGACTTCAGCGCTTGTACACTGCTTACACGCATTAATAAGCAGTGTTGCAAGCAGGTTACATAGATTGTTTAGAAAAAAAGCGAAAGATGGCGCTAAGCAATACATGACGTTATTTTCAAAGCATTCTTTAACATTTAGCTTAAATATTTTGTAAATTTTTAAGTTTTGATTAATTTAGTGGGAAAATTACGAATAGAGATCTAATGTTGCCATAGTAAGTGTTATTGTTGCATGGAAATTTTTTTATGATCCAACCAGCGATTTACTCATTGAATTCTGTAAAAGTGAGTCTTACATTGCTTTTGGGGGAGATTTCTCGCACAGGCCCAGGCGTGTGAGTGTATTTTACAGGTTCATGTTATATTATATATATTGTATTGCATTCCGGTGGGCAAAAAAGCGTGTGAACCAATGCAAACGGTGTGCACCATAGGAACTTTGATCCTGTTTTCAATCTGTTCATGCGTACAAGCAGCATTGTTGTGCGCTTAAGATCCAAACAGACACAGACATAGCTATATGGGTGCTTGTGTGTGTGTGTGTGTGGGTGTGGCATGTGTGGCTGCAGTTGCAAAAACACCTACGCATTGTTGCACAACAATAAAAAGCTGTCACCAACCCCACCTGATGCCAGCCTGCCAAGCCGACTGCCAGTTGGGCTTATTAGTTTACTTTGCAGCTGGGCCAGAATCAATCATTGGGCACAAACTGGCAAACTGGCAAACACCTGATGGCCCCTTGCGCCTGCAGAGTTTCATTTTGTGTGGCCGCGACTCGCACCGGATGCCCGGCCAGCCGGATATGAACGCATTCCCAATCAAATTCGATGCAGGAGTGCCCATTGTCCAGGTCACATCTCTATATTTTTTTTTTTAGAATTCTCGCATGTCACGCTGATGTTTTTGAGCCCGACGTGACTACAGCAATTGTCGCTGGCAATTGTTCGCACTGGAGCTGCTTCTGTATTTTTTTTCTTCTATTTTTTTTTCATGGCGGGAAACTTTAATGCCACCCATTGTGATTTGCATTTTTTAATGGACTGTAAATGTCAGACGTGGAAAAAGCTCATATGAATTTGTCACACCTTACATACTTTCAATGCTTATCGTTTTTCGCTCGAACAAATTTTGAATAGTTTTACGTGCAGTTCGATCGATGAAGTGCGCACTTTTTGCCATCTATTTTTGTGCTCCTGGGCAGTGAAACCTGACGCTAAGCTACTTACTTGGCCAGTTGGAGACGCCAGTCCAGAGATTTTTGCACAATTTATGCACTTCCTGACCGGAGCCACATGTGAGGCGGCACTCGAGTGGAGGCCATCTCAATGAGTTGCAAAGCGGCTTTCGATGGCTCCGGCTACGGCTGGAAACTGCAGGCCAGGCACTTGTACTCGTATTTATGCAAAGTGCACCCATCTGCTGCCAAATGGGTGGCCCAGTGGTGGCCTATGTTAATTTTCATGGACTGAAATCAATTTGAGGCAAGCTGCAAGTGTGAGAAATATGAAAGAAATTCAGCTCGACGCACAATCAAAACTTTACTAATTACAAACTTGCCGAAAAATCAGCTTAATACAATAAGTGCGACACTGGCTGGTAACCCGATTCAGCCCTGCCTCACGACGTTCCCACGTTCCCGGCCCAACCCACTTAGATTAAGTGCGAAATAAACTTGCGTTTTCAATTACCAGCACCAGGAGCTGAAGTCTTAAGTTGAGCCTGCTGCCAGGCATCAAAGGATATGGAGGACGCCGTCTGCTGACAATGCCAAAATGCAAAGAGCAAAAGCTCTTGAAAACAGAATGCACAGAGCAGGGAATGGGCCAAGCTGAAATGGCAACTGGCGACAGCAGCTTAAATCGTTTTTAGCACCATTTCATTCTTTTTCAAATACCCTATAACTATGAAATAAAAAAGCGGCATGTTAAGCATATACAACGGTGGGTAAAGTGCCTGAATAAGTGCCTTTCAGTAGAAAGGGGAACATCGAAGTTATTTAACTGTTGATAATATATCATAATATGCCCTTTAAGCGCTCTATAAGAAAGGTAAATATAGTTGTATAGGGTATATGATTGTGTGCCAACTCCTTCACTCCTTTGTTATGGGATATCTACAATTGAATGAGGAATTTTTCTGTAACTATTAAACTTGAAAGAAATATCAAAGACAAGCAATGTGCTCTATGTGGGGTGGATGGGTGTGATACAGGGTACCTACCAGTCGATAAGCTTTTCTCTTTTCTATTCATTGTTTGTAATTATGGGTAACCTATCAAGATATGCACTTTTAGAGAGCTTTGTTGTGGAATAAGTGTTTTACAGGGTATATACAGTTTGATCAGTTTGTTCCTTCTAATTTGTCAAAGTGCGAGAGCCTTCAAAACGCTACGATCACATACTGATTCTGATTATTTCAAATATATTTCCAGAGCTTTCTCAGCTTTACATAGGCCCGACTTCCTTAAAACCTGGGAGTTACCTTTTCGAATAGGCACCCAACTGGGGTAATCTGTGCAGCATCATCACTTGGCTTCTTAATTTATTTAAAGCCATGTACAGTTAGTCATCTGGCGGCATCGGCGCATCAAAAAGCCAGTCGCCAGATAAAGTTTATAATTTCATAGAGTCGCCCGCTCCGCACTTCCGGCGAGGCAGCGTCTTGAATTTATGCACTGAATTAATTATGCACGTACGTCGTCGTTCGCGGGCTTTTGGCTTTGGCTTTGGCTTTGACTCCATTGCCAGCTCCAGATGTGGTCGCGTCCGAGTCCTGGCGGGGGTGGCTCTTGGTCCTGGATGGCTTGTCTGCTCGCCTGTTTATCTGCTAGTCTGGTTAGTTTGTGTTTGGTGGCGTTGCCGGCGCATTTAAAATAATTGCACTGCGTTGTCTGAAAAACTGAAACTGGCAATTCGTGTGAAAAGTTTACACAACGCTTTTGGCATAAGCTCATAATGGATTTGTCAGCGGGTTTGTTGCGTTGCTCGTACTGCCTTTGGGCTGGCTGCTGTGGATGAGCCGCAACAACTTGGGTTAACCCATGGACCTGCTTATTGGGTCCTTCTGCGTTCCGCTAATGTAAAATATGGATAGTTCTAAGTGGCTGGAAGGCTTTGAGCTGGGATAACGACTGCAAGTTAAATGCTTGGCTTCATTTGCATAGAAGTGTGGAGAAAGTTTTGGACAAGTAAGAAAGTTGGTGCCTGGAGAAAGTAGTTATTAGGCGTTGATATAGGAAGTACTTCCAAAGAGGAAGTTACCTACTGTGTATGCATATATTATTGTAGGGAAAAGTTCTCTAAATGAAATTAAAAGTAGAACCAAATGCATATGAGAGTGTGACGCTTACAGAACAAGGCAGGGAAGAATTTGATGAATTTCAAAATAGGTTTTTTATTTATTACATTTCCTTCATAGAAAACAGTATACAAAGTTTTCCAGTTTTATTTTTTTCTATTTTCCAATAATAATATCTTTTCAAAACAACAATAGAGATATCATCTTTGACTTTCTGCCATACTTTTTATGCAGTTAATCACACATAAATTGAGAGCCTTGCAGGGAGCTGTCCCATAATTAATTCTCTAAGTTTAAGTTTTCTCGCTTGTCCCATTCAGTTTGTTTATCCAACGTAAAGTCCCCTTATACGCTGTGTCAGTTCAACTGGCAGGCGCTGGAAATCGCTCAGATTTCACACCCTACCACCCCCAATCGCTGTGGCATGGAAACAGTTATAGCTGCACAATGGGCAAGATTCATGTCGCTAACTCGGCAGCGTAGTCAACTGTCTGACGTCGTTTATTTACGCCGAGGGCGGAACGTTGAAAGCAAATTGATATTATGTGGATTTGGCTTTCACTTTGGCGGTATCAATATGCGAAATCCTTTGCCAGCGCCCTGGCACCTCCACTCCAGCTAAGCCAGGGATAATGATTATGTTGCGCAACGGGCAAGGCAAAAGTGTGCAGAGGGGCCAAGCTGGAAGAGACAGGCGCTTTTGCATGCCACGGTGCGGCTTGCGTAGAACAATGTGTGGGGCAGGATCCTGCTCCAGGCTGCCAGCATAGTATTTGTAATCGACAGACAATCGACGTGCGCTCAACAACATGAAATAATGGAAGTTGAAGCGATGTCGAAGCATACTCCAAGGCATTGCAACTAATTGGGTTTCGCTTAACGTTTCTACAATGGGTTAGAACAAGACCATAGCTCTGCTCAGGCGTGGGGTGTTGTCGGTGTGTCTCAGTGCGTGTCTCTGGGC